AGTTACAGAAACTAAGCAACAATAATCATTAAATAACACAAAACTGGGATTTGTAGTAATACTTTAGAACAGGGGTGGCCAATCTTATCCGCAAAGGGGCAGTGTGTATGTGGATTTTCGCTGCAACTCCCTAATTAGATTACTAATTAGAGGACTGATTGGCTGAAGAGTTCTCACACCTGGGTTTGAACAGCTGACCTACAGGTTATCCCAAAAACCTGCATACACACCGGCCCTTTGCGGATAAGATTGGTCACCTATGCTTTAGAAAATATAAAAGAAAACACGAAAGAAAATGCTGCAATGGGAATAACCTTTGAATGTCGCCATTAAAAAATGATGACATTACCTGTGCATATTTCACCTTGTTTATGTGTTTATTTGTCAATCTTTATACTTCAGGGGCCGGTGATATATGCCCAGCTCGATCATTCAGGGACCAAGAGCCCCAACTCATTCCACAAGATGGAGCCAGTGGTTTATGCTGACATCCGGAAACCGTAAGCCGTATTATCAAGGACTGAAAGGGACTGAAGTGCAGTAATCCGTCTAGCAAGTTCTATTTAGAATTTGTGAACAAAACCCCGCCCCTTTAATATGGAAATCATTGCATGTTTGTTAAATGTGTACTAAGAAATTCACAACATGGGTCATAGGCTTCACACTAATTTTCACACATGTGGAAGACTGCTAGTCTTAATATTATACTGGTGCTTTTTTGCTAAAGGATGTGTGTTGTAGCCACATTAGAGTAGAAAAGAACTTTGCTGCCTTGAAAGATGCATCAATTTTCTTTTTCGTTTCTTATGAATTTTATGCGTCAGTGCTCAAAATATGTGTTTTACTGCCTGGGACAAACTGGTGGTAAAGTTTTCTGGTTGTTAGGCTCCGGGCTGGACTGGGATTAAAAATCGGCCCTGGACTTTAGGGTACTCTTTGGTAAATTTTGCCAAGGGGGAAGATCCCGACGACGGGTTTTGCCTGCCTGCTTACCAATCGCCCCACCGGGAAAATGTCCAGTACAACAAACAGATGACCAGTCCAGCCCTTGTTAGGCTGATGCTGTTGTTATAGCTAAAACACTATATGCGTAAGAAGGACTGTATGTAAGCAACTAACCCTTTAAGAGAAGAGTTTAGTCTGAACGTAATCCGAGCCAAATTAAACAAATGTACAGAAGTTTTTTTTTTTAATGTAATTTAGTAATTCAAAATGACTAACCAGAGTAACACAGCTCATTTAAAATATGCTGGTAAGGAAAGATTGCATCCTCATGTTGTGTCTTAGATCGAGTCTTTAAAAGCTAGCTGTAAATCTGTAGCGATCGTTAGCCTGTCATCGTCTTAACTTTGACAACATTTACAGGAGTGCAAGCAGTATTTAATGGCATGTTTCTTAACAGTTAAAGTAAATTTGAAGTCTTAAATACAAAAGCTGTAGCATGTGACAAATATTGAAGCAAAATGGCATTTTATAATGGTAATTATTCCCAACTACTTTTTATTTTGTAATACAAAGGTACAAAGCATCTCCACTAATACTGAGCCTTTGACACAAATTTTGTCTTAAATCTTGAATCATTTCCAACCTGCATGTGCAGGATTATTCTGTTACTATATTATTTTTGCAGTGCTGTAAGACACGTGGTATGTGGTTAAATCAATGTGTAATGATACAAAATAATATGGTAAATTGGTTCACATTCCGGGAAAAAAATGCTGGTGTTTTATCTTGGCTGTGCAGTAGTTTTGTAGGTGTTTGTTACTGTGTAGTTTTTTTTTCTCCTTATGATCCATCCATTATCTGCTGCTTATCCGGGGTCGGGTAACAGGGGCAGTAGTCTGAGCAGGGATGCCCAGACCTCCCTCTCACTAGCCACCTCCTCCAGCTCCACCGGGGGAATCCATGGAGTTCCCAGGCCAGCCGAAAGATATCAGGTTTTTTTTTTATTGGTCTTTCAGATATCCAGCTTGACGCTCTGCCAAACAAAGTGGATTTTTTTTAAAGTAACTCATGTAAACGTGTTATTGGTTTTTTCCATTCAAAATGTTGTGCTCATTTTATTATTGTATTTTAAAACAATCTGCACTATGTGCTGTAGTACATATCCAGACGGTTGAAATCTATTTGTTTATTTAGAAAATGTTTGTCCCAAATGTGTTGTCTTAAAACTGGATGGTGGCAAAAATGTAGTGCCTTTAAAAGTTCCTGTACTAAATGCCACATTTCTGTCCAAATCATTTCCTCATTCTGCGTGCTTTTTATACATGTTCAAGAAAACATGCTTCCTGTATCAATCTAATTTTTCTATAAAAGAAATTCTTGATGTGATATCTGCTCTTAATTTTAATAGTAGCATGTGTGGATTACATCAGTAGGCTTTACTGCCCAAGCATACATTTTTATTAGTTATCCATCAGGAATTTGCAAATTAATGTCAAGTCTATGTATAAATGTAGAATCGTGAGTTTTGCTGCTGTGATCATGGAATCTGACCTTTTCAATAAACACCAATTGTTCATGATGGAATGAAAATACTATCCAGTTACAGTGGAAGTCGTGCTGAGTTCATATAAAAATGTAATCGCCAAAGACGGATGACCAACTCCAGTGCCAATCCATGTCTCTGTTAAAAACAGTAAATCCAGATCGCGTCGGCAGAAAAAGTCATTTAAAATAAAGATCTTATTTGACACGGACCTGCTGTTAACCAAGGCCACCTTTGCCGTGGATTGAGCCGCAACCTGGCAGCATCGAGAGAATTCCAGAGGGCGGATGTTCAGGTAATTTACCCCGCCGCTTCGGACGCGCAGCCTCGGCGCAGTCGAGCAGTGGGGTCCTGTGCCGAGCAGCGGAAAGGTTTACGTGACAGGAGTATCTCAGGTCCCAAGAGCGCCGCGCCACGTAGAGATCTCTATGCGTTGGCCAGACCTCAGCCAGCCGCCATGGCCATGGCTGCGCAGGAGAAACAGTTACTCCTCTCCTGATCTTTACTCGGAGGCCTCCGCGTCTACTCCTCCGTCTACGCCGTTTCTTGCGATGAGAGGTGCAGCGAGGTAGCTGACGAATACACTCGGCAGAGGAGTGAATGAACGAGGGATGGCATCTGCTATGTGGGAGAGGATACCCACTAGAGACCACCGAGGAATAGTCGAGATCCAGTAAAACATGTTTTAATATGTCTATAACACTGATAATTGGATTATTGTAAATACTTAGATAAAGGTCATGGTGTTTTTAAAGCTTACACGGTATCCAGTGTTGTCCCCTATACTTGAGTTTATGTGATTTCTTTTGCAGTTCTTAAAATTTGCAAGATATCACTTAACCGGCAGCACACTTCCTTGGCAGAGGACTGCTCTCTACTGAGTAATAGTGATAGAGAATATTTGCACAAATGTACTACATGCCATGATTATCTTACCTAAAAAGATTGTCAAATTAAACAGGCTATCATTGCCTCTAATTTTGCCTCTCAAACTGAAGTTTGTCACAAGATAAATCACACTCGTTTGACATATTTAAGAGAGGCTTGATAATCATGTGTCACATTCATTAACCTGTCACTAAAATTTCGGGATGTTTGTCGCCAAGATGCTTTGCCAAGTTCAACCTGTTGGCTCCCTTGGTCTCTGTGGATCTCAAGCGTATTTTACACACGTTTTGCAGTGTCTGTTGGCTTGCCCTATTTTGCCTTGTATGTCCACTTTGTCAAGCTGTGGAGGTTTGGCATCAGCATTCGTAGGCCCAACCCAAACCGGTCCCTACACACTCCGCCTTCATTTGCAGTTCCCGAGACCCCTCGCCATATTCGTGTCTCTCAAGGGGGAGTGGTCCATTATGCTCTCAGCAGTGATGAAGGCCAAGTGATGAACTGTAAATAAAATGTGTACAAACTTTGCTTAATCAGTATCATAAGACCACGTAACTTGTCTTCTCACAGTGGATAAACTTTTTTGATTCTCTTAACTCGTACAACTCATAATACTTTTTGAATGAGCCATTTCATCATGTCACTACATGATGCATTTCATTTCCTGTATAGAAGACTGAACAAGGTGGAGCAAGAGTGAGTGTCTCAAATCTTTCTTGCAAAAATTGCCTTTAGTTTTATTCTGCGTTCCATTTGCCTCGGAGGTCGAAACTCAAAACTGGGAATGACGTCACACACGAGTTAACAGCAAGTCACAAAGTCATTTAGCAGTACCAGGGACCTATTTCAAAAGAGCACGATATAATTCACATCAGATTAAATGCCCTTTATCTTCGTTCATTTATGTTGCCCAGACCTTAAATCCGGCTTAATGAAACAGGCCCCAATTCTAGCCTGGTTAATTATTAGCAATATCAGTGTAATTATGCAGTATTTTGCACATAAAAATGCCATAGCCAGAAGTCCACACATAGCGGTTGGACAGTAGGCTACTGTGTGTAGGACCGATTTACTGAGCCACAAATAAAACACAGCTGCTAATAAACAGTATAAAACTACAGCTTTGACTTCTGTTGATAGCTAAAGGATGCAGCCATTTTGAATTCTGAGCTCGGGGGTTGTGTTGATTCCTCAGAGTTCACGAGTCGGAATTCCGACTTGAGGGGACCTTCCCATTGAAATTTCTGACTAGGAACTCGGAATTTGAAATAGTTTTGTATTCCCACAGAATACTTTTGCGATCCTTAGCGAAAGTTTTGCGATCCCACTACAATTGCCCACTTAAATGCTGCAACGTGACGGCAAGAATAAACCTAAATAATACAGGCATATCCTGTAAAGTGTGCTTTAAGCTTGTACACCATGTAACTTTTAATATTATGTGTTTTGTGCATATTTATTAATAATTGTCAATTCTGACCCAGATGTGTCGTGGCATGTATAAGAGTGGCTGATGACTGTTCATCTCTGGTTAAAATATCCACTGAGTTAATTTACTTGCAACATACAGTGGGGCCCACATATCCACCGCCTGAAACTCGTATGTTATTAAAGAAACTACAATACAGTTTCATGAGGAAGCCATTTCGTCACGCCAAAACATAACACATTTCCTCTTTGCTGTAAAGGGCAACGGGAGAGGGTGAGTCTGTCTCAAGTCTTCCTTGTGAAAATTCCATTCAATTTAAATGCATTGGTGAATGTGTACAGCAGTGATACTCCACCAGACCATGAGAGGGCAGATGTATTGCAGCAAACAGAAATTCAAGCCAAGGTAGTGAAGTGAGTAAGCTTTTTTATGAACAGTTTTAAAGCTGTTAGTCTAGGCTTGGGTGGTATTGAAGAAATACAGCAACAGCATGGCGCTGTATTTTCAAGTCCTAAATCTTTCCGACAAAATTAGCCGGGAACTTCTGCTTTGTGAAAACCACTGCTGCCACCTACAGCAAACACCTAGTTAATTTCCTTGCACATGTGCAGTCAAAACATGAGCAAAGAAATCTGAGGCATTTCTCAATACCAATAACATGAAGATCATACTTGTAGTCTTGGCAAGACCGGTCTTGCTAACTTACCTCCCAAGAATGAACTTGGGGTACAATGAATCATGGAATCAGTTTCATTTGGCAAGCATGCAACCGATATATCCTTGATGTTTGGGGTGGGGCGAGAACAACATTCGGGCAAAAATGGAGGACTGTGCGAGATGTGATGAACGCAAGACTTGTTTGAATGCCAAATGCTTTCATTATTTTAGGCTTTATATGCTATTGTTCCTGGGTTTAACCCAAAACAGTTAATTCAAAATTTCAGAGTGTCCTGCAAGTCATTTGAGTACATCTGCCAGTGACTAGTTCCTGCTCTTTAGCAGTCGAAGAATCAGAGATGCATTCATGGATGAGCTGCGAGTCATGCATGTTAATACACACGGATGCACATAGCTGTCACGCATGTATGCATTCACCTAGGCGATACGTGGGGCAATGGATTGTTGTAACAGTACTTCTGCTGCTATGACAAAAAATTACAGTACATATTAACCTTCATACCACAAATGAAGTACGAATTAGCATGAAAAGGTTAAAATGCGGGGCGACATGGTGGTGCAGTGGTTAGCACTGTTGCCTCACACCTCTGCGACCTGGGTTACATGTGTGTGGAGTTTGCATGTTCTCCCCATGTCATCCTCCAGGCACTCTGGTTTCTCCCCACAGTCCAAAGACATGCTGAGGCTAATTGGAGTTACTAAGGGTGCTTTTCCACCACACAAAGTACAGTACTTTCACTAAGCCATTGACTTCCAGTCAAGTACCAGTACCGAAAGTTCAAGTACCAAAAGTGCCAAACCAGCTGGGGTACTTCTTTGGTACTTTGGGGTGGGACTTGTATTTGCTGTCAATTGGTTATGCAAATAGCCTGCCGCTGAAACACAAAATACACACAGCGAGAAACTAAATAAAAAGCGGTAGAAACAAAAATATAAAGAAGTAAAATGGAAGGATGGACAAAGAAGGAAACACAGGCTTTAATCGCCATATGGTCAGATAAACAGATCCAGCGGGATTTGGATGGCACGACTCGAAATAAAAAAGTTTTTGCCGTTTCGAGCAATTCAGTTTCCCTATGTTTCCCCTGTCGCGCGCTGATTTGTACACGGTTTCGCTGTTGTTTTCATGTCTTTTTACGAAGCTCTTGAGGTAAACAAGCCATATATTTTAAAACATCACATGCCTTTTCAATGTTTTTTGTTTTTATAGATAAAATTTTTTAATTTGCTGGATAGAGATATTTCTTGATGAAAACGGTATAGTATTGCTTATAAGACTATATTATATGCGTGACGATCTACTGTATTCACATGTAATAATGTACCTGAGTGATTTTCAGACATCTCACGTACATCTTTGCCTAAATATTAGTGCTGTAGTTCTCGAGACCGGTCTTGTGACCAATTTTTTGTGGTCTCGGTCTTGTCTTGATCTTGACGCTATTTGGTCTCGGTCTTGTCTTGGTCTCGACCCTATTTGGTCTCGGTCTTGTCATGGTCTCGGACATAGCGGTCTCGATGGGATGGGGAAAAAAATGTTGTCGGTGGCTCAGATTAGTTAGGCCTATTGAACTTTCTTAACCAGTCAATGACAACGTATTATGTGGTATTTTGCACATACAAACACCATAGCACCATGTCCACAGATGGACAGTACTGTGTGTACAACCAATTTAATGAAACACGAATAAGACATAAGTGCTAATAAGGAATAAATAACTACAGATTTCACTTCTGTTGCTAAAGGGTGCAGCCATCTTGGATTTTGAAGTCAAGATTGCAGAGGTTCCTTGACTTTCTGAGTCAGAATTCCAGCTTCAGGGGGCGTTCCAGTTGAAATTTCTGACTAGGAACTAGGAATTTCCGACTTATGAGTTCAAATAGAACGCAATATAAATTAAGCTGCATTCCATTTACCTCTAAGGTAAGAAGTCGGAACTGGTAATGATGTCACACTTGAGTGAACCAACATTCTGGTACAAGAAGTCAGAAAGCCATTTAGCAATACCAGGAACCTTTTTCCAAAAGCAGGATTTCGGGCTAGCCGGATAACATATCAG